TTTTTTTGGCCTTGAGCGTGTGGGGACTCTGGGGTGAGGTTCCCGTTTGAATTGACACCCACATCTAGAATACGTGAGCCAATCTTCGCATTTCACTTTGGTGATCAAGGTCGTGGTCTTTTCTGTGGACCTGAATGATGCCAACCACCTTCGCTGGTTCAAGTTTGATCTCTAAAAGCTTCAAGTCGAACCCTGCCTCGAGTCCACGCTGACATGGGAGAGAGAAAGGAGGATACCACATAGAGATGTTCTCCGAGTGAGAGCGAGGAGGAAAAGGAGGTGTGGGTGAAAAAAGATGGCGAACACGAAGGGAAAAGAAAGAGGAAAAATAGATTACAAATAAATAAAGATAAAACTAAAACGCAACGTATTCGCGACTCTGAAAGCTCGTGCTAGCATGCGTCGAGCCAAGATCAAGAACCCAACCGCGGCCTCACCATGTCTTCCTTTCCCAACTCGACTCTCTCGACCCTCCTCCTCGTTCTACCTCCTCCGTCTTCCCTTCTTCCTTCCCTTTCCTTGTCACACTCTTCCTTCTTCCTTCCTTAACCTCGCCCTGCCCTGACCCTCCTTTTCCTCTCGAGTTTCTCTCCTACCTTCTTCTGACGCAGTCCCAGTCAGGGTTGCTGGAATCACGATCGCCACCTTCAGAGCATGTAGACTTGCGGGTTGGTAGTCAGTCGTTCGTCAAAAGGTTGGAAGTGAGGGTGCTGGTGGCTGCGGGCTAGTGGGTCAGTGGCTTTGGACGAATGCGACGGGGAGCGTCCTCGTCAAATGCGCTCCCGCATCGGCACCAAGTTGTACTAAAAATGCGATCCCTTTGAAATCAATCATCATTCATAATTGTATCGTTTTAACGACTTTTAATGTGACTCGAAAGTGCGAGATATTTCCGGGACTCTCAAGAGATTCAGATTGGAGGAAGGATCAGAGTCAACGCCCCCAGATCAGGAAGCTCGAATTCGCTGCGCATAAGATCAAAGATCAAAGCAGGAAAGTAAAGTGGAGGAACGCGAAGAGATCCCGGATACAATCACAGCACATGCAAAAAGAAAAGAGCAGATGATCGATAACTACGGGATTTTGACTGACAAGTGGACATGAAGTCACGTCCGAGAATGGATAGCGACACTCACGATTGGTTTCTTGGGGCAACAAACAGGAGGCGGGAATACTCACGAAGGATGGGGGCTGACGCGGCTAGCAAGTTTGGTTACGTATGCTATCGAGTCCGCGACTGAGATTCACCGCTTGTTGTACATACAGTGTGTCTTACAAATGGCGGCGCAAGAGATCAAGGTAGCGATGGGGTAGCTCTTTTTCTTAGATTGCTTGAAGCATGTAGCTCGGTTGACTGTGCACTCTGCCTGCCTCCCCGTTGGCCATTCGTGTGTGAAAGTGTGTGTATGTGTGCGAGAGAGAGAGAGGGAGAGAGGGAGAGACCACTCACAGGAAGCGTGCTTCTTGCCTTGCCGGAGCCGATGGATCGGATGTAACAGGTCCACATCTCTCTCCCACTCTCCCTCCCTCCCTCCCTCTTCCCTTCTCCACTTCACGGCCCTCCTCCATTGATTTTATCCGACCACCTCCAAGCACCCGCTATCGTGCCTACAGCATTTGTACGTATGGAGCATCTTTTCTAACATTGAAACCGATCCGATTCGTTCCAGCCAACCATTCTTCCTTCGGATCAAAAAAAAAAAAAAAAAAAAAAGGTTGAGGAGGGCTTCTGAAAAAAAAATCGAAATAAATCCACGGAAAAGGCATGAAACCCAAAAGTCTCTCACGTCGGTGCTTCCTCCCCCCACTCGGAAACAACTGAAGCCGGTCCAGTGTTGAAGCCATCTCCAAACCTTAAAGGAAGAGGGGGCATGTTCGTTCCACCCCTCTCGAGAGGTAAAACTGGGGTAGGGCCGGAGGTTAGAGGACGAATAGGTGGCCGCGCGGCGGTGGGCCAGAAAGGGTTAGGGGCAAGAAGGATCACATGCAACCCCGCTTGGACGTGTCTGCCAAACTCGGGTGCTCGGCATCGACTCTTTTGAATGTGAAAATAATGCATTTCGACTCCACAAGCTCACAACGACATCTGGAAAGGATCTCCGTCCAGTCGCCATGGGATCATGCAAAAGTCTCGTTGCGATTCCAAAAACGCATTTTCTTGTTCGGGACAAGGGAGAAAAAAAAAAAAAAAAAAAGGGACCGAACCCGATGTTGCTAACGAGTTGGTTCTATCAGGCATATCCTCACCTATTTCGATTCCAAGTCACAGTCATCCGCGAGTGTGAAAAGGAAAGGCCCAGGTTGCCGACGTGACGGCTTTTCCCTGCGGAAGGGACTCTCTCTCTCCCCTCCACCCTCTCATCAATCAAAGTTATGGTGAAAACGCCTTCCTTCGGTATAGGATTATTCGAAAATCATGTCGAACGCGATACCCTTCAATTCGCGACCAGGTGGTTCGTTCGGTGAGACGGTCAACCCGGGTGATAAAAGGATTGGACGAAAGGCACGGGAGAGGGAAGGGTGGGGGGGTTCCAGACCCGAGCCCACCTGCATGTGTGCGGATGCATGTATGCACTCTATGCACTTAGTCTGTATGTAGTAGTCCTCTGTTTTAAGAACGAGCACACTCCGCGACGACTTTACATGCGGTAGGGCTTTTTTCCCTCTTGTAGTGACCAGCTTGTTCCCTTCTGAATGTCGAGGAGTTTCTTTTTCTTGAGGTCTTACCCCCTCAAGACGAATGAAGGACTCATAGAACCTGAATTTGGCAAGTTAGCTCTTCATCTTCATCGCGGGGTGCGAGGATAGAACGAGGAATCCCAAGGAAGGGGTGGGGGAGGGACTACAACTCTCGTGAGAGGCTTTCTCGCCTTCTGCGATCCCCTCCGCCATTTTTTTCTTTAAACTCTTCAAAAACCCAAAGCATAAGGTTGCATTGGCATTGATATTGGTCAGGCGTGCATCCGCATCTTTGTTTATTTATTTAAGAATTCTTGGGGGGGGGAAAGGGGGGGGGGGGGCTATGCCGTAACCTCTCAACCCGTTTTTACCCTTGGCGAGACTCACTTCCCCCTTCCGGTCTTTGGGAGACTGGCGAGTAGGATCCCTTTCATTCCTTGCGAGCCAATGCCGTGTGGAGTTGGAGTCCACGGCTTGACGAGTAGCAGGGAAACTGAGAGCAAGCTCTACGATCCTCAACTCCACTCGCCGCAATCTCTCACCCAAAGAAAAAGAAAAGAAAAGAAAAAGAAAGAAAAAGAAATAACCATTGTAAACCATCTCTCCCTCCCACCTCTTTCCAGACTCTATGCAGGATGTACCACATGCTTTTCGGGGGAAAAGAAAGGAACGAGTTCGGAAAAAACGGAGAATGTCCTCCTTCCCGTCCCCCAAACCACCCTCCACCTCCACTCGCACAAACCAACCACTCCACTCAAACTCAATCCGTGGACCTACCAATCGCACCATCGTGTCAACAGAGTACATACAACGCTGTATGTCCAGTACAGCATGTGCATACATGCAGTAAGTGAGTGTGCATACAGCAGCGCTCAACCCATTTCACCAAAGTCTGAGTAAGCTTGTGCTGCACAGCATAGGAATGCGCCGGATGGGAGAGGGAGAAGGGGGGGGAGGGGGTGGGCAGGAAAAATACCTTTCCCTAGGCCCCAAATCGTTTGGTGGTGAGTGAGTCGCGTATCCTACAAATCAAAGGTCCAGAAAGGTGGCCGCGCGACCACCAAATGCTGCAAAACCCTTCCCCCCCCGAAAGGCAGCTTCTACAAAGCCGTTCGTTCCAACAAGATACAATGAAAAGAGAAAATAGTACCTCATATGCAGTGCTGTCTATATAAAAAAATCGACGAACCAAAGAAAAAAAAAGAAGAAGAAAAAACCCTCCGCCCCTCCACTCGGTGCGCCACTTCCTCACATCTACTCTTCCAGGACCTGGTGAGTATGGAATCCCGACCCGAGCATAGGTCGCGTTCCCGTGCTTGATTGCAAGCAAGGTTGGCCTGCTGAGACTTGAACGTTGGGTGCGACGGGGCTCGACGTGTTCTTTTGAACGAAAAGTCCTGTATCAGATCAAATTCTTTCGAATTTTATTCTAATTACATATATAGTTCCAGATTCGGACCCCCCGTCATTCAACAGATCCTATAGCTCAGTTGGTTAGAGCGTGTGACTGTTAAGTTTCTGCTGTTCAGTTGCATCACAAGGTCGCTGGTTCGAACCCAGCTAGGATCGATCCTTTTGCCGCACCGGATTTCATGTCTCTCCCATCTTTCCATCCTTCTCTTCTCCCCCACATCTCTCTACGCTGCCACTTTTTTTGTCAATCCCAGCACCATGAAAGAGCTGGGGGGGAGAGAGAGTGTGACACCTCACTTCCACACGCTTTCACGATCTTAGGTTCCTCACCTTCGCCGTCGAAAGATGAAGTCAGGCATCATTTTTGCTACCTCTCCCCTCTCTTTAAATTCTCTCAAAATGCGGCTTTGCTTCCCCTCACCCGAACTTTCGGTGAACAGGAAAAGAGCAGGGGTACGAACATTCTGTATTCCCCTCCCCCTGGAAAAACAAAAACCAAAAAAGGGTGAATACGATCTTACGATTCTCTGGTTTTTCTTTTTTCACTTTCATTCATTCGTTTTGTGTGTGTCTGTTCTTTTTTTTCTTTTCATCGGCAGCGGATCCCCTAAGGATGCTCGACCTACCACTTGGCCCATTCCCTTGGATGTCAAGTTAAAAAAACAATAAAACAGAAAAATGGGGTTGCAAGGCAAGAGTAGGGATCTCAGCCCTTGCGTTCGACGATCTCGAGGAACTCTTGGAACTCTGCCGGCTTGATCTTGTACCCTTCCACATCGTTCTCCGGGAATCGTCTCTCCCTGACGGCCTCGACGTAATCCCTAATGGCCGAGATCCTCATGGCTCCCAGGCTCCACGGTTTGGTGAAGGACCTGACAAACTTGGGTGGGGAGGGCGAGTGGGAGGCTGGCGAGGGTGGTGGAGGGGAGGAGGAGGATTCCGATCGGCTCGCCTCCTCGCCTTCTCCACTCAAGCCGGCAAGGATGTGAGCAGGGCTGGTGAGCTCTCCGATCATGTCGCTCACGACGAGCACCTGACCGTCGGTCGCGTTTCCGGCTCCGATGCCGATGGTGGTGATGGAGAGGTTCTCGGTGATGAACTCTGCCAGTTTCCAAGGGATGCATTCGAGTACGATGGAGAAGCATCCGGCTTTCTCCAGCTCCCTCGCTTGGTGGTAGATTTCGGCTGCGGCGACGGCCGACCTTCCCTGGACCCTGTAACCCGAGGTGGAACCCACCCTCTGAGGTTGGAGTCCGATGTGACCCATGACGGGGATTCCGAACTGGGTGAGCTTCCTGACCAGTCCTAGGATCTCTTCGCCGCCTTCGATCTTGACGGCGTCGGCTCCGGTCTCCTGGATGAGCTTGACGGCGTTTCGGATGGCTTCCGACTCGGAGGCCATGAAGCTTCCGAACGGCATGTCGACGACGAGGAAGGGGGAGGCGGGGAGGTGAGGTTGGGAGACGAGCATGGACGAGTTGAGTCCCCTCTGGACTGCCTGGGCGTGATGGATCATGACGTCCAAGGAGATGGACTGGGTGGTGGAGTGACCCAGAGCGACGTTGGCCAGAGAGTCGCCGACGAGGCAGAGGTCGACGTCGGCGGAACGGATGGAGAGACCGGTAGGGTAGTCGTAAGCGGTGAGGCAGACGATGGGTTTGGCTTCCCTCTTCATGCTCTCCATGTAGGCGATCGTCTTCCTCCTTGGTGGCAAGGGCAGTTCGGAGGAGCGGGGCGAAGCGGAGGATGGTGACGAGGAGGATGGGTCAGTGGCCCTCGCCTTGCCCTTGAGGTCCAGGGTGGGTTCGCTCTGTAGAGCGGGGCCCGCCCTCGTCCTGGAAGAGGCTGCCTTGGAGAGGGTGCCGGTGTCGATGCTGGAGGAGGAGGGCGTGGTCGCAGTTGAACGAGAGGGAGACTGGGAGGAGGAGGAGGACGGGGTGGAAGGATGAGGATCGTAGTCCTCGGAACCTATGGGCCAAGCGCTCCTGTTAGGAGGGAAGGTGTGGAGGCGAGACGATGGGATGGGGTGGATGGACCTTGCCAACTGACGAAGGTGAGAGAAGGCCAAGGATCTCGAGGTCGACATGTTTCCCGGAAGGGGGGGGGGGGGGGGGGGGGGGGGGGGGGGGGGGTTGGGTTGGGTTGAGAGAGGGTGAGAGAGGAGAAGGAGGAGGATGGAGGATGGAGGAGGAGGAGAAGGGAAGGGAGTAGTAGATGAGATGGTAGTTAAGGGAAAGAGGGGACCGTGAAGTCGAAGAAAAGGCGTTCCGTGTTTCCCTCACTGGACTGAGCCAAAAGACCAAGGAAAGGACGAAACCTGCAAAGGGAAAGGAAGGAAAGTGAGACGATGATGATGATGATGGAGGGGGTACGCAATTTGTCGAACTTGGATGTGTCAGGTGAGGGCTTGGAATGGTTTGACCCTTTTCTTTCTCCCTTTTCCTCCAAGCCTTTTCCTTATTCTTTTCCCTTCCTCGACTCTTGTTTCTTCTTCCTTCGGTCCTTGATCTGGCTTGGTTCCGGGGAAGGGATGGGGGGGAGGGGGGGACCGGGACTGGGGGCGAGAGTGGAATCCATACGAAAGCCGAATCCAACGACTAGAAACTCGAGAGAAAGAAAAAGAAAAGAAAAGAAAAGGAAAAACCAACCCAACCCCCCTTCGATTCCGGAGGTGGCCCGACCGTCCCTGAGAGAAGCCAATCCGATTCCCGCATTTTCTTTCGCCCTTCCTTCCCATCCTTCTTCCCCCACCTCTCCTTTCCCTCTTCCCGACTCTTTACCGTTCCAATTCTATTCCATTCACTCTGCTCCTCCCTCCCCGAACGGAGCAGACCGAACCTGCCGAGTGGAAAAGGAGGGGGAAAGGTGAAAAGTGTGAAAAGTTGGGCCCACCTAACCGAAACCGAGGATGCGAAAGAACACTTGATCCTTGTACCCCAAGTGATTTGCGTGCCTGTCCGCCGCCCCTCACACAGAAGGGAAGGCCCTAGCGGAGGGCCCTTTCTCTTCCGATCCAGCAGAGCGTACTGCTCGTGGGGGGTCTGATCGTTCTTTTCCTTCCTTCCTTCCTTCCTTCCTTCCTTCCTTCCTTCCTTCCTTGCTTTCCTTCCTTCCTTTCTTTCCTGCCGAGGGCAGCAGAGCACTTCGTTCGTGTAAGGCGTCGGTGGCATGAGTGGCAGTCGAGAGGCGAGCGAGATGAAACCGAGCGATCCCCTCTTCTCCCTCCCATCCCACACCGGACCCCCCCACCCCTGGGCCACGGAACGGACTTGGCAGGATCACTCGGCAGGATCACTCGATTTGTCCGACTCTTTTTTCTCCTTCTTGTTTCGATTCGGCGCGAGACAAGGAACCTCGGGGGGTGGACAAGTCTACTCGTTAAAATTACAAGCCGAGGTTTGGGGAAGGGAAGAAGAAAGACAAAAAAAAAAAAAGGGGGCATCCGCCAGAACCTTCTTCCCGGTCCCCCCCCCACTTTTCACCGCCACCTTCCTCCTCCTCCGCCTTCCTCTCTTTCTCGGGCCTCCCTTTCACGCGAAGCCGAAGCCTTCGCCTCCCTCGTTCATCGCCAGCAACAGTTGGGATCGTAGCTTCTCGTAAGAGTCGTACTGTGGAAGGTCGAGCTGGTTGAAGCTGTTGGCCCGTCAAGGAAAGAAAAGAGGAAAGAAAAGAAAGGTGCGACAGGCGAGAGGGGGACGACGCATCTGATCCGTCAGTGATCGTGGAACCGAAACGAAGGCTCGAAGAGAGAGGAGGGGAGCGGGTGCGAGCGATTTCAAAAAGGGGGGTCCTACAGAGTCAAAGGAAGGCGAAACTCACCAGGTGTGAGCCGCAGGCAACCGGTCGGAGCCGTACGCCTTGTGAATGTTGAACCTCTGCGTCCCTTGAACACCTTGGAGGTGACCAAAGCCTTCGAGAGGCACCTTGCTCGTCCCCGTGATGAACTGCAACAGTTTGGCCTTCTCCGTCTGGTCGAACGACCGGACCGCTCGCCACCACCACTGGATCACCGCGTCCCCAGAGCTGTAGCCGTGAAGTTCCGTGTTGTTCTTCCACGCGTCCACGTCAATATCCGGTAGACCCGAGATCAAGAGCTCCAGCTCTTGCTCCGAAAAGATGCGGATCAGCGACGGCGGAATGATCTCGTTGAAACCTTGAAGGAATGCGTCAATCTTTTGTGTTTTTTTTTTTTTTTTTTTAGGTTTCAGTTCCAAGCACGGCGGGCAACGTTTAGGTGGTGAGGCGTGGGGAGGGGGGGAGAAGGGGGAAAGGGGAAGCTCTGGTATCAGCCAAGGTTCTCAAGCCGGTTGCTTCCGCATACCACCACTTTGGCAGACACTCACCTGAGAGCGGATCGACTTGGTCAATCTCTGCTCGGTGACCAGCCTCACGTATTCCTGCTTGTTGGCTTCCGTCACGGGGATGCTCGTCCCCCCGGGCTTGAGCTCGATCACCTTGGTCTCTCCGAATTCCTCCGCATCCACGCTGAACGTCAGGTCCAAGACGTCGGTGATGTCGTTCTCGAGCATCCAGTCTAGACTCTTGAAGTACTCGGGGTCCACCGACTCGAGGTCTCGGTAATCGACCGGCTTGCCGAGAATGTGCTTGTAGAAGCTGCGGGTGAAGTAGGCGTCTAGCAACCTGCCGTCGTAGATCGCCTTTCCGATCACCCTTCCGACGAACTTGAAGAAGGCCAAGTGGTGCTCGTTGACCGAGCTCATCCGATTCGGTTGATACGTGGTACGATCCGCCGCGCAGGGTTGGAACAAGGCGTAATCAGGGTTGAACATGGCGCGAGCAAGCACCTGGAACCATTCCCTCGTGACACCTCCGGCGTCGATCCCCTCCTCGTTGTAGAATCGAACATTCAACTTTCCGTGCTTGATCTCTGGCCCCGTTCTCCTGTGGAAGAATTGGAAGCTGTCGTCGAAGACGTACTGCCTCCTGACGGAAAGCGACAGCGGAGTGTAATGCTCTCGGCGACCCTTGTGGAGCTGCTGGGTGAAGTAGTTTCGCTTGTTGTCAAAGTCGAGCACTTTTGGGTTCTGCACAAGCAGCGCGAAGGAGCCAGACATGAGAGAAGGATTTTGGCGGACCATGACGTTGAGGATCTTCCTATGCCGTTCGGTGAAGGCAAAAAAGTTGTCTTCCATGAT